CGAAACTTAGAAAAAATTTCAAGTGTTGGTTTAAGAACAAAAAATGGATCGTAATTCTTTCAAGTTTTTGGTAAGAGGGATACTTTTGATGGAATAAGTTTTGTCTATTAAAGGAGATACTCCTGTGTCTGTTATTTAAAACTCAAGTCACTCGATTTTTTTGTTTTTTTTTAATTGTAATGTTTGGCCATTTGACGGCGAAACTATAACTGTCAACTGTCGATAAATTTTATATACAATTAATTTGTTTATGTTCAGAAATATCTCCTTTGAATGAATTTAAATAATCGTCACAATAAAAAATTGTACAAGAAATTATAGATTCCATCACTCTTTGAAAATCGTTGGGCATATCTCCTAAACTACAAAAACTAGTTAAAAGTCATTTTGGAATATGCTAACATAAAATTTTGCTATATGTTAATGTTGCCTTGTTTGCTAGTAAAATCGTCTAAAGCTAAATGGTTAAATTCGGTTTCTAAATCAATTTTGTTAAACCAAACCTTTCCGATGAATATTTCAGAAACAAGGGCCCTGACGTTGTCAACAAGTTCATGAATGTTTGGCATTTCGCATTTGTTCTTGTTTATTTGTTATTTATAAACTTTGAGTCTAGCGCTATTTTAATCGAATTGTCAAACTGCGATTGTCATTAAAACAGTCTTGAACATAACTTTCAAGTTTTTTGATTTGTCCCTCGGATTTCAGTCTAAGCAATTCTTTTTTACTTGAGCTTAGTAAATGTACAGGTACTCTTCTCCACTTAAGTTGAATTGGTTTGATTGGTTCGTGAAAGAGAAATATTTTCAATTGATAATTGATTCTTGATTATTTTTATCTGAAAGAATGTTTTTATCTTCGTAGAAAACCCTTTCTGTCTCGTTTTTTGTGAAGGGTTGAAAATAATTAACTGAATTCCTAGGTTTTTGGGAGATGTGATAAGGGCAACTCTTCTGAGCGACTTCAACTCCCACCTTTGGCAAATTGTTCTTTCACAATTTTTTTTCTGTGGTCGTCTGTTAAGGAGACAGGTCAGCTTTTGTTGTATCATCCGTTGGAGAATATGGGGATTATTACCCTGCCGATGATATTGATGGCCGTGTCTGTAAATCCAAAATACAAATCCTTCGCTCTTTGATCCATTGGAAACATTACGATGTAGCAGTTTCTTAACTCTGGTTAGTGCATAACATTCGTCTTCAGGAAACTGACTGGGCTCGCGGAGTCTACCCGGATGTTAAATGTGAACACCAACCGGCTAATTTTTTAGGTTTGCTACGGATGGTCGATAAATTACCATAAAACATCCTTAGTTATTTTTTTAATACTGATTTACGCTTGCGTGAGCATTAGATGCATTTGAAATTTTGGTTAGTTTCTTCGCTCATCCGCTAAAGTATCGGCTGCAATGGTTTATTAACCGGACGAAACGAATAAATTTTGAAATTTCAAACGCGTTTTTCTAAAAATGTGTTATGAAAAGACAAAGAGTGAAAAGAACATAAGTTGCTTAGATTTTCATCAAAAATAATAAGATACAATTTTTTCTCCAAAATTTTCAACCAAAAATTTTACCCCGAAAATGGGTCTTTTTGGCTTTTTCAATTAATCAAAAATTATGCTGAAATTACTTTGTTAATTGATGAGATTTATGTATATCACAAGAAGCCTCTTTTACAGCGTAACAAAATTCCAGGCAGTTTGTATCTCCAAAATCTTGAGTAAATTGTTTTAAATTTATTTTTAAGCAAAGATTTTGGGTTTTATCCAGTAAAATTCACGTTTCTTGACTGTCACGCTAAAAATATTTTCTTTTATTCAGGTTTTTGAAGATTCAAGCTCTAAAAACTTTGTTGGACTGTGTAAGGAGGTTTCTTGTAATACATACTTCTCATCAATTAACAAAGTAGTTTCAGCGTAATTTTTGATTAATTGAAAAAAGCCAAAATGACCCATTTTTGGGGTAACATTTTAGTTGAGAATTTCGGAGAAACAATTGCATTGTATTATTTTTGATGAAATTCTTAGCCTCTTTTGTTCTCTTCATTTTTTTCTTATCATAACCCAATTTGAGAAAAATGCGTTTGAAAATTTGAGTTTTGTTTATTTCGTCCGGTTAATTTAAATCAGCACTGTAGATCACACCAGTTAGTTGTCTGGCTAAAAGCCTACTCATTGTTCAACGAAGCAATATTTCCACTACCCAGCGGTCCTGATCGTCTACCAATTCACTTTTTTAGTGGTAAAATAAGACTGAAGAGTTCTTGTTCAAAAATTGTCGATGTGATTTTTAGTTCGTTTAAAATAATTAGGAAGGGCTAAACTTGTTGTGACCACTTTTCACTTTTATAGAGATTTTTTTTAAAATTAATTCCAAATGTAGGATAATTGCAAAAATGGACAGGCCTCAGCAGGGCCATTTTGTCATTTGCGCTGTGTAAGGTTACCAAATTGTCTGAGCTAGCCGGTAAATGAATCTTGGGCAAACTTGTCTTCACTTGGCGAAAATTTGAAACTTTTGAGTTTTTGTCAAATTCAAAAAGAGCAAAGACTTCCTCCTTAATGTTTTCTCTGGACAAGAACATTATGATGAGTTATGAGCTCTGGCTGCTTCTAAATGAAGTCGAAAAAAAACTAGGAAGGACGTCAAACTTTGCGTCCTTTTTTTGAGCTTTTGGCCCCTCGGTGTTTTTGATGCAAGAAAACTGATTCATGCCTTTTGAATTTTTTGGTTTTGCGCCAATGCCACAGTTTGTAAAAAGCATCCGTTAGATAAATGCTGCTCGTTGATTTTATTGAGGGCCCTTATACTAAGCGCCAGAATTGCCATAACTTAGTGGTTTTCCACTTCTTTCCTGTTCCTCCAAAATGAGTAAGATTTAGTTTAAGAAGGTTTGGAACCTGCCTTGCTAGTCATATGTAGAAATGATATGTCTTTTAGTTAATGGCTTTGTTAGATCAACCTTTCATTTATTGCCCACTATTGTTTGAATGAAATTACCGTCTGCTATTCCGCTAGTTTTGTAAAATTTCTGACGGCACTTTTCAAGATGGATTCGATACTCAGATCTGCTTCACATTGTTAAGGAAACAGAACTTCTTCACGCATGTTGACACAGTTTGCGCAATTTTTTTGATCAAAAAAGGTTCGCGAGAGCCGATGAAAACTTGACCGTAGATTTTTTTATTAGCTGTGCATGAGCTATAATATGATTTCTTCCACAATATTTTAAGCAAAAATCTGTAAAAAATATCAAAAATTTGGTATATCAATCGACCCATTCCGATTATTATTTGTATTACCTGATCTTCTGTGGAAAAAAAAAGAAAAAAGAACAAAAACACACCCCAATACAAAGTGCTTCCCCATTTTTCTAATGGCCGGAACAAAAAAAAGTCACCAAATTATGTCACTCTATTTTCAATTGAGATGCTGTCTACATGTAGCGAGTAGCACTATAGTGACGCTGAGATAGCCCAACCTTTCAAGATTCGGAGTCACAATAGTTATTCTGGCTGGAAAATGAGCAAAAAATTCAATTATAAAATAAGTTATAAAAAATTGGCCGTTTCCCATTATAGCCCTCAACAAAGCACTGTTTTCTCCGAAATTTTCCTAGGGGGAGGACAGGGCGCATTTTGAAAAAAAAATGAACACTTATCGACCTTTTTGTTTTGTTAGGTCGACCAATTTGATTTTCCGAGCTCTCTGAAATTACTCTAAGGACCCTATTTTGTCAGAAATTTTCTGCTAATTGTTTAAAAAAAACTGGCCAAAAGGAGTTTTTGGGCACTTTTTGGTAAATTTGACCAAAACTTTGTGTTTTTTCGGCGCCCGCTCTCCCCTCAAAACTAGTTATATTTCTGTTGTTGGCCGGCCGAAAACGGATCTCGCAAAATTATACCAAAGGGGGATACTTTGGAAAAATTTGGCAACCAAAATTGAAAAGAAGGAACGGTCGACCCCCACCCCCCCCCCCCCGCTTTCCCCCTCTGCACGCTATTGCTCACCGTATTATATTAAAATTACACTGTAAAGAAAAGACAGGTTTTTATTGTAAGACGGCGTGTGTACTGAATGAAAAAAGAGCAAGTGTGGTGCTATTGCAACGTCATTAAAAATTTTCAAAATTGAAATAAATCTGATGGTGATCTTTTATTAGCTCAAAAACCACTCAATCCTGATTTTTTAACACTACTCCCAGGGGCGGATCTAGGATTTTCTCGAGTGGGGGGGGGGGCGGATTTTCAAAAAATTTTCGAAAATTTTGACGACTTTTTTTTAGATGGACCAAATAGATTTTCCGAGCTCTCCTAAACCACTAAAAAACGCTGTTTTGGCCCAATTTTCTGCGCCGCAGGCAAATTTTTGAAAAAAAGGTCAAAAAAGCCGTTTTTAGGGCACTTTTTAGAAAATTTTGACAAAAAAATAGCTTGCGTTTTTTTTGCCGCGCGCTTCCCCTCAAAATGAGTATATATTGTCGTCGAAGGCGCCTTTAGACAAATTTTAGGGTCGATCTGCCAAAAATTAATTTCTTAAAAAGTACCAAGGGGGACCCTTTGGGTCGGCAGGAGGTCGAATCCCTGAAGGGAAGATGGCGTCCGCCCCCCCCCCCCCTCTAAATCCGCCCCTGACTACTCTTATTAAATTCTTTAATCAATTTCTTGATTTTGAAGCGTTGATTTTGAAATGTTCGTCACAAGACTTTGTTGAAATTGTGTTGCAACATAATATTATAAATAGTTTTCAAATGTCATAAATTGTTGGACTTCTGTTCGGATATCCTTTGACAAAATTTTGATGATTGCACAAAAATCAGGCATTCATTCGCATTCCAGAGTTTCAAACTTCTGAAGTTACCATGTAATATTTGATGGTCAATTAGCAAATTGTGCTCAGCAATGCAAAATTCTGAGCTCGGCTTAGAGCTGAACTCTAGTCATCTGATTATTATTTGCCCTCCTTTTGAAAATCTAAACATTCAGTCGAAATACAATCAACATGATTATTCTTGATTTGGTTCTGTTGAAATGACATACTGATCGTTTCGAGTTAATTTGACAATTTTTGAGTTCTTGTTTTGACTCAGAATCTCAAACAAAATGAGCAAAATCAATTGGTCTGACTGTTGTATCTGTCTTGAGCCGCTACAAAACCCGAAAAGTCTCCATTGCGGACACTCATTTTGTTCGACGCCGAAGACGTGTATAGAACGAGTGCTATCTAGCACACCTAGACGCTGTGCTAGGTGCAGAAAGCCGATAGACGAAGCCATTCGCGATGAAGCCGATTTATCTGTGAACTACGACTTAAAGTCTGCAATTGAGGTGAGACGTTTCCAAGTTATAAAGCCAACTATCTTAGCAATATCGTTTCGACTTTGACCTTGAAGTTAATTTTTTTAATTAAATTTTGGCTCTTTTTCGGCTCTTTTTCGGCTCTTTTTCCTTCACCCCCACCTGCAATTTTTTACTTGTAAAGTTACTGTTCACATTGTCCGATCATTATGAAAATTGACATGCGGACTACTTAGGATGTGCCAAACACATTTGATCTTAATATTTAACCTTGTAAAACCACTCGTTACACCATAAAATTGATGGTCGTGGGAGGTGGGGAGGGGGGGGGGGTATTTGGAATTTAAAGGGCCTAAATTTTTTCTTAAGCTTTTAAAGCCGATTAAGTTGTTTCTCCCTTATTCCTGAATAGCAGACTGGTTGTTCGACTATAGAAAATGGGGAGGGGCTTCTGATGTTCTATGATCTCAGTAAGAACCAAATGTCCGTTTTATATGTGGTCTCTTAGATTGAGCTCCGCGCCTGACCGTGACCTTGACCTTGGCCGGCCTTTCATCATATTGCGAACAATAACATTACAGAATATTTGGCTACTGCCATAGCAATAGCACATCCCCCCTCCTCGAGGAAAAAACTTTTTTCTGTATCAATTTCACAAATGACATAAAAAATAGTATGAGCTTTTGAGAAGTTTGATTACGTTATATATTGCGAAACGCCATTTTAAAAGTAAAGTCCTGCTTCGAACCTCTTTTCAAATTCGAGCATCAGCATAATTCCTCAAGAATCTTCTATGTGTCCTCAAAAAACTTAGGAATGTGTTTAAATATTTATGAAACCATTTTCTGCAAATAATCATTTCAAAACAACAATCATTTCAAAACACAGCTGTCATGTATAGTGATAACTTCTCATAGTAATTTAAAAACAATTTTCAAAAAGGTATAAACAGCAGAAACGCGTGGTAGGTGTTGGAATAGTTGTACTCAAAATCATTTTTAGTCCAGACATTTTTCGAATTTTTCGCTCACCAGCAAGTTATAAAGATCGTTTTTCAAACAGTCCAAAAGTTGTAATGCTGGATTCAAATTTTTAAAGAATTTTCATCTGTGATCCATATTTGAAAATATCCTTTCTCAAAGTTCAATTCAGTTTCGTTTGCTCAAAGGAAGGCATGTTACGCTCACCAATTGCAAAAACGAACAGCAAGAAAAACGTGAACGATTTTATTTCAGTCTTAAAAACTGACTTGGCCCTGTAAATAACAGCGGATTACAAAACTAACCCTTGTCTCATTTTTTTCTATTTTTTTCATTGTTTTTAAGTTTCATTGAAAATTTATCTGAAAATGGAAAAAAAAGTTAGTTATATGACAATTTTTTTGCCAAATACAAAAATTGAAAAATTTAACGAAGTAGATAGTTTTGTTATTTCGTCGACTTCACTGACATTTTTCCAGTTGTCTGAGTGCGTACCAAAATTTTCAGGCTGGCTCAGTTTTTTTCGAGCAGAACTTCGGCAACCTTATTGAACCAAATAACAAGTTGATAATTGAGACATATCATTTTGTACTTGTCTTCGTGCAAAAAAAGATGAAACTTTTTCATTGAAATTGTCATCTTTGTTCCGAATTTTGAAGAAAATGCGGAATATTTGTGCTTGTTTTTTTTATTTCATCAATTTTTGACTTTTTAATTGAACTTTTTTGGCGAAAATTTTGACACCATCCGAGATATTTTTTCTTGAGATCAAGTCTAAACATGTTTTACCTGTGATCGTTTTTTGTTAAGTTATGGGGGTTTGATAAGTGCAAAGGGCTAATTTGGCTAATTTGTCATATATATTGCGGTCGTATAATACACAAAAACGGCAGTTTATTGCGTTCAAAATTGAAATGAGGTGAACAATTTAATCTTATTAAAACAATATGAGACGCTAAATACATCTTTTGTGTTTATATAACGTGTGGGGGATAAAAAGAAGAAAAGCAATCATTTTTCGAGTATATCGAAAATTATTTATCCAAACTTTTCCTGAATGATCCTTGAAGTGCAGTCGGATCATTCAGGGCTTCACCCTGCTATACGAGCAGTCTGGTTGTTTCGGTTTTCGAAGAAAACGACGGAATATTTGTGCTCGCCGTGTTTTTTTTTTCTCCAATTAATTTTCGACTCTTCAACTAGTAATTTTTGAGGGAAATTTTAAATATTATTCGAAAAGTATTGTTATTTTGAGCTCAAACTCAATAAGTTATTTCACCTGTTATCGTTTTTTGTGAAGTTATGGATGTTTAAATATTGTCAATTTGGGAAAATTAACGCGCGATTCAAATCGTGCTACTAACGCGTACGGAAGATTTAATCCATAATAGAAACAGTTCCAATTATGTTTGAGGCAAGCTCTTTAGTCTATCTAAAACTTTGCTAATTGCAAAACATTTCATTTTGTTTTTCACATGCCGTTTGGGGAGATGATTTACAAAAAAAAACATACAAAAAACTTTGTCAGTGTTTTCGAAATTGAATCAATTAGTCATTTTAAATTACTCCATAGAAATTCAAACGCAGTCGGAAAGTTCGTAGTTTAGCCCAGATACGAGCTGTGCAATTCATTTTTAAATTTTAACGTTTCATTTAAAAGCAAAACTACTCGATATTTATTAAAGGGCAGCCAGGAATGTTAAAGCTCGCCCCTGATACGAATATTATTTTTAATTTTTGTTATGGGCAAAATATTGTCATAATTTTTTTGAAAACGAAGCAATGCAATTGCAGAAAAAGGTCGATTAAACTTAGATAAATTTTTTTCAGGATTTGAAGCCGACGGCAACATTAATGGAGAGGCGAACAAGTATTCAAAATGTCTGCTTAATCCACAAGAACCCCTGAAAATTTTCTGCAACAACCTCGGTTGTTTTAGAGAAATTTGCGAAGACTGCTGGATAGATGATCATGTCGGTCATCAAGTTGTTCCGTTGAAAAGCGTCCTGAGCAAAAAATTTGAAGACCTAGAAAGCGATTGGAAAAATATAGAGGAATGTCAAGATAAGAGCAGAAACTTGGTCACCGAATCTGTCAACCTCAATGAAGATACACTGTCTCTAATGGAACAAATAGACCAGTTAGTAACATCTAAAAAAGATTTGCGCAAATGTGAAAACACTGAAGACTTAAAAATGTTCAAGCAAAATACTTTGGAAGACTTGGAAAAGCATGAACAATTAGTTGGACGGATTGAAGACAGAGCTTGTTCAATAATTGCGTCAAGCAAACAAGTGAAAAGTTCTCTCAAAACTGCAAAGGATTATTTTCTCGAGAACACAGCGTGCGTTAGTTTTCAACTGATTGAAAATGTAGATCAAACTCGAAGAGAATGGAGAGATATGCGAATTTTAAACACCTTCAGCAACGTTGGCCGTGTTGATTCTCTGTTTTTTGTCCGAAACAAAAATTGAAAAATTTAACGAAGTAGATAGTTTTGTTATTTCGTCGACTTCACTGACATTTTTCAAGTTGTCTGAGTGCGTACCAAAATTTTCAGGCTGGCTCAGTTTTTTTCGAGCAGAACTTCGGCAACCTTATTGAACCAAATAACAAGTTGATAATTGAGACATATCATTTTGTACTTGTCTTCGTGCAAAAAAAAAGATGAAACTTTTTCATTGAAATTGTCATCTTTGTTCCGAATTTTGAAGAAAATGCGGAATATTTGTGCTTGTTTTTTTTATTTCATCAATTTTTGACTTTTTTGGCAAAAATTTTGACACCATCCGAGATATTTTTTCTTGAGATCAAGTCTAAACATATTTTACCTGTGATCGTTTTTTGTTAAGTTATGGGGGTTTGATAAGTGCAAAGGGCTAATTTGGCTAATTTGTCATATATATTGCGGTCGTATAACACACAAAAACGGCAGTTTATTGCGTTCAAAATTGAAATGAGGCGAACAATTTAATCTTATTAAAACAATATGAGACGCTAAATGCATCTTTTGTGTTTATATAGCGTGTGGGGGATAAAAAGAAGAAAAACAATCATTTTTCGAGTATATCGAAAATTATTTATCCAAATTTTTCCTGAATGATCCTTGAAGTGCAGTCGGATCATTCAGGGCTTCACCCTGCTATACGAGCAGTCTGGTTGTTTCGGTTTTCGAAGAAAACCACGGAATATTTGTGCTCGCCGTGTTTTTTTTTCCAAAAATTTTTCGACTCTTCAACTAGTAATTTTTGAGGGAAATTTTAAATATTATTCGAAAAGTATTGTTATTTTGAGCTCAAACTCAGTAAGTTATTTCACCTGTTATCGTTTTTTGTGAAGTTATGGATGTTTAAATTTTGTCAATTTGGGAAAAATAAATGCGCGATTCAAATCGTGCTTCTAACGCGCACGGAAGATTTTATCCATAATAGAAACAGTTCCAATTATGTTTGAGGCAAGCTCTTTAGTCTATCTAAAACTTTGCTAATTGCAAAACATTTCATTTTGTTTTTCACATGCCGTTTGGGGAGATGATTTACAAAAAAAAACATACAAAAAACTTTGTCAGTGTTTTTGAAATTGAATCAATTAGTCATTTTAAATTACTCCATAGAAATTCAAACGCAGTCGGAAAGTTCGTAGTTTAGCCCAGATACGAGCTGTGCAATTCATTTTTAAATTTTAACGTTTCATTTAAAAGCAAAACTACTCGATATTTGTTAAAGGGCAGCCAGGAATTTGAAAGCTCGCCCCTGATACGAACTACTTGTATTTGTAGTTATGTGCAAAATATTTTCATAATTTTTTTGAAAACGAAGCAATGCAATTGCAGAAAAAGGTCGACTAAACTTAGATATATTTTTTTTCAGGATTTGAAACCGACGGCAACATTGATGGAGAGGCGAACAAGTATTCAAAATGTCTGCTTAATCCACAAGAAACCCCTGAAGTTTTTCTGCAACAACCTCGGTTGTTTTAGAGAAATTTGCGAAGACTGCTGGATAGATGATCATGTCGGTCATCAAGTTGTTCCGTTGAAAACCGTCCTGAGCAAACAATTTGAAGACCTAGAAAGCAATTGGAAAAATATAGAGGAATGTCAAGATAAGAGCAGAAACTTGGTCACCGAATCTGTCAACCTCAATGAAGATACACTGTCTCTAATGGAACAAATAGACCAGTTAGTAACATCTAAAAAGGATTTGCGCAAATGTGAAAACACTGAAGACTTTAAAATGTTCAAGCAAAATACTTTGGAAGAGTTGGAAAAGCATGAACAATTAATTGGGCGGATTGAAGATAGAGCTTGTTCAATAATTGCGTCAAGCAAACAAGTGAAAAGTTGTCTCAAAACTGCAAAGGATTATTTCCTCGAGGACACAGCGTGCGGTAGTTTTCAACTGATTGAAAATGTAGATCAAACTCGACGAGAATGGAAAGATATGCGAATTTTAAACACCTTCAGCAACGTTGGCCGTGTTGACTTTTCTGTTTTTTGTCCCGTGAATCAGAAATTGTTTGTCCTAAGTGAACAAATCATCAAAGTATTCAGAATCAACCACAACTCGATTCAAAAGGAAACGGAATTTAGAATACAAGGTAATAAGGGTTATGCAAGAGTTATCATAAGGCTACTCGGGTTGAAGTTGCATTGCATTTTAGAAAATTATCATAGATCTTTCATTTTTTTTGCATCGAGGTATCATTCATGTTGCAACTTCAACCCGGGTATATAAGAGTTATAAATAATTAAGATGTTCTGTTAGCATCTAAACTTATTTTTGAGCACCTCAAAAAGTATTGTTGTTCCGACTTTCGAAGAAAGTGCAGAATATTTACGCCTGTGGTAGTTGCTTTTATTCAGTCAATTTTCAACTTTTTAACGAAGCATTTTTCACCAAAGGTTTTTAAGCCATCAGAAAAAATTTTTGCCGCGAGTTTAATATTAAAGTAATTTTTTTCTGTGATCGTATTTCTTAAAGCTAAAGGAGCTTGAAAATTGCTAGTTTGGTCAACCTGGGATAATTACGCGCGATATACTTCATGGTATGAACGCGTAAGCAGAGATTGATCCGTGTTAGAAATTGTTCCAAACCGACTTTCGAAGAAAGTGAGGAATACATGCTTGGCGCGGTTTTTTGTTCGAACCAATTTTACAAAAAGTTGACTGCGTATGTGTATCGATCAGCAGTTTTTCGTGGCTAGCCAAAAATTGCGGCTAGCCTAAAATTAGTAGGCACTACTCGATTGTTAGTTGATAGTGTGAGCGCGCGAATTATTAAAGCGAATTGAACCGCATTCATAATTGTTTTAAGCTGAATTGAGTCAAACTGATAAGTTATAGCGCGTTATGTTGAATATTGGCAGTGCAAAATTTTTGGTGAATTACAAATTTTGAACAGCCAGCAACAAGAGTTTGTGTCTAAATTAAAATGGTTTATTAGTTAGCCTCAATTCAGTTTGGAACAAGTGCGGGATAATTCGCCTTATGAATTCGCGCGTTAAAACTTTCAACTCGCAAGTGATCGTTTCCAATTCTTTTTAAGGTTTGTCGAAAGCATACCTCCTTGGCAAGCCGAAAATTGCTAACCGATACACATACGGAATCGACTTTTTATAAAATTCGTCTGAATAAAAAAACCAACTCAAGCATATTTATTCCTCACTTTATTCGAAGGTTGGAAAAACAAGACTGCTCGCATCCAGCCAAAGCCTTGACTTCTCTGATATTTTTTAAACTGTAAGAAGTATTGCTCATTTTTAAAAACATTGATGAATTTTTCAATAAAAAATGAAAAAGTTTAAGTTTTTTTAGTTTTTTTTTTGTGAAAACCGTTCCCTATGTAAAGTACAAAATAAGAGTTTTTGAATGTAGCAGAGTTTTGGTTTTGTCCAATCAGCAAGCCTTGAATTAGTTTGGAGCAATTTCCAACACTGTTCAAATCTCTGCTCACGCATTAATACCACGAAATTTATCGCTCGGTAATTGTCCCAAATTGGCCAAATTGGCAATCTTTAAACCCCCATAACTTGAAAAAAAAACAGGTGATTAGTTTTTAATTTGAGCTCACTTAACAGTACCCATCAGAATAATAAAAAGTTGACATTTTTGTGGGGAAAAAAACCACCCAGAGCACAAATATTCCGTCACTTTCTTCAAAAGTCGCGGAAACATTTATCTCATTAAAATCAAACTGAAAATGTTTGTACAGCCGCAGAGATTATTGGAGGACTGGCCTTGAGTGGAAGTGGCACTCTGTATGTCTATTACGTTAGAGATAGAAAGAGATTAGTGAGTGTGGTTAACAGAGAAACTGGGATAGTAGTGAGAAATATAACTAATTCAAAAGCAGATTTTTCTTTGCTCATGAAAATTCACGCTCATGAAAACATGTTATTACTGGTTGTGTGGCAATCAGGTCGGTACAAATGTGTGCATGTGTACGAAAATGAAATTCACAAAAGAACTCTTCAGCTTGTAGTTGCAAGTGATAACAACTTCAGTTTTTTGTGTGGAACAGAATATTTGTTACTGGGGATAAGTGGAAACAAAATAGCAATAGTTGACCTCAGCCAGTCTGGATCTAGAGCCAAGTTCGAATCAATTCAGTTGGGTCAAATGGCATTTTTCAATAGACTATTCTGGATAGCGAGAGATGACGAAAAAAGTGGGCAAGGATATTTATTTACTAGTGACAGTTACGAAGATCATTTATCCAATAGGTCTTATGTTTATGAAATGAACTTGAAGAATGTGGTGAATGGGACTACATTACTCCCAATGCAGATCCCGTTTATGAGTTGTTACGGCAACAAAAACATTTTATTCGAATGCGCTTTAGGAACAGATCTTATTTTTTGCATGTGCGGAAAAAACGTTTTCGCGGAAAAAACATTTATGGTGAAACTATTAGCAAACCTATGAAAAAAGCGATTATAATAGTCCTATTCTGCAACAATTACAATATTTTAGTTTCTACAGTAAATATCTTCAAATTGATTATAATCGATTATAAATATCATGTTTTTAGAAAACCAATGTCAAATTTTTTTCTTAACCAATATTAATTGATTATAGTTCATACAGAAAACCTTTCAAAATTTTTTTTCTTGATTGTTTCCACTAAAATTTAGACCCAAAACGAATGAACGATAGCCATTCATCATTATTACTGTCCCGGGTTGACCAAAATGTGCAACCATACGTCGCACCATGCATGGTTCCATCGAAGCCATGAAAACCTGCCGACGTATTTTTATGTTAAAATAACACATTTTCCATGCATGGCGCGACGTATGGTTGCACATTTTTTTTATTATGGGGGACTTCAAATTAGACAATATTGATACTTTTACCAGGGCTGCTGTCAATTTATATGTCACACTGGATGCTTGCAACGTATGGTTAATATGGTATCATGCATGGCGCGACGTATATATACTATGGTACACGTCAGTTACGACCAAAACTTTATTCAAAAAAAATCCGAAAAATGTTTAAGTGCTGTATACCTTAATCGGATTGACAGTTAGACTATCTCAAGCAAGGCTTTGGTATACTCGATGATAATCATTGATACCTAATGATCCTGAGAGTTAATTTTGAGGTATCTAGGAACGGCCGTGTTTAAATGGTTATGACTCTACTGGTTATGGCGCTATTTTCGATAATTTCTAGCAAATAGTACGTACGTTTCGATAATAACTATTTTTTCGGAAATCAAAATCTGAAAATTCTAAAATTTTCAGTGGTGATGACAAAACAAAATACTAAAATAGGCTGGAGTTTTAACTCGTTTAAAATGGCCACTCCCAGATCCCAGGGGCAAACCGTAATTTTAATACAAATATCAAAATATCATTAGTAACCAATGTTTATTATCTAGTGACCATTAATTATCATCTGAAGCAGGCAGTAAGCCTTAGAAACAATGACAAATACCGATAAACATTGAGAGCACCGATGAAATACCTGAAATTCTCAATTTCACACACAGTGGTCACAAGTACTTTTATTTTGATTCTGGGAAACCGCACAATCGAGTGTTGGTGTTTGCAACTTTACCTGCGCACGATTTGCTTTCTCTGCTCGAAATTTGTCGATGCGACGGAACGTTTTCAGTGGTACCAAATGACTTCAACCAAGTTAATACTGTTTATGGTGGGATCGAAAACACCGATGCCCTTGGCTTAAGCTCTTCTGCCCTCTAAGGTTCGAGATAGACATGGAAAACTTATTGGCTGCTTAGAGCAAACCGGAAAAAAGAAGTGATGGATTTTGAAGCCCATATTTGGAACGCCATTGAGAAAAAGCAGCCTGAAACAAAAATTCATTTCAGTTTTTGCCACTTGGGCCAGTCTGTAAGAAGCAATGTACTTAAACTGGGTTTACGAGCAAATACATGGACGATGATCAGCTTTGCCTGAATGTTAAAAACATTTCGGCTTGTCATTCGTTCCCGTTAACGATGTAATTGCAGTCGAAACCATATACAGAAGTGTTTAAATTTTGGACCTTTAATGTACAAGTATTCCAAAACTTTATGCGATGCAAATTAGTTTTGATCTTTGAAATTTGTTTTTTTTTGTGCTTCATATTTATTTCCTGATGTGTTCAAAACCTTGTGACTCTGATTAAATCTAAATATAAATATTATTGTTGATCTTCTGATCTAGTCTGTTTGATCTAACTGGCCGGGTTTTTTTCGGCTGAATTTTTTGTATTGAATGAGAAATTGTTGATTTTTGTGTAGATTCAAAGCAAAACTCTGGAAATCTTATTCTTAACCTGATCCTGCAGAATTTCGAACTTTGAAAACCTTTATCAACAAAAGGAGGATTGAAGAATTTCGCTAGGAGTTTTGAAAAATTTGAGGATCGTGTAGGGGATAAAATAAGTCTTCAATTTATCATCCAACGATTTTTTGATCAGCATTAAATTTTCGACTACATAAAACTTCTTTTCTTGTCAAAAATATTTCAGCAAAAAGCTTTCCAAAAAATCAGAAGTAAGCTCTTTGATTGAGAGTTTGTCTCTAATTAGACCTTTAATTAGCGTCCAAAAACTTATAAAAAATTAGGAATTAACATGTATTGCATCAATAAGAAACCAAATGAAATTTTTTTTCTTTTGAAGTAATTCGATGAAATTCAAATGTTTTTGTTAAACATTTTTCGAACAATGATTAAATTTTTTTTTGTAATAAATAAACAGCACACTTTTAAATAATTCTTATTTCTGATTAGTTGACCTCCAACAATCAGTGTTTCTAAAAAATTATTCAGTTCTGGTTGGGCAATAGCAAAGAAAAACTCATTTCATTCTGATTTTTTTCTACGTTAAAACAAATGCTCCTTACTTTGTATTACTATTTGAAATTATTTTCAATTGTTCTGAACAATTCAGAGTTAGTAAAAATAACTTATTAACTTTCTTGGGACATTTTACTTTTATTCAATTTTGGCTTGTGCAAAATCTCCAATTGTTTTCAAATGCTTCCACTAAACAGGAATGAAAAAATGAAAGGCAAGGATTGTGAGAAAAAGTACAGGAGAGCTGATGCAGCTCGACATCGCGACAGTTGTGTGCGAGGAAATATTGAATGTCCAGAATGCAATTATTGCACTTACAACCAGCAAAAAATGAACTTCTGTACGAGCAAAAAGCACTAAAGTCAACCCAAATTCAACAAGTTGGTATCGTATTAGAATTTCCAAGCTAATATTTTTTTCTACGACATTGCAAGAAAGAGCACGGGTTGAAAGAATGATCATTTTCTCGCTGAGTTGAATTAAATCTTGGAAAATATGGAAAACAGTGATCAGCTACTAGATGAGTCGAATACCTGTCAACACTTCTTGACAGATACGAGCCGGAAAATGGACGCTACAGGGTATTCAATTTTCAACTTACCAAACTACTTTCTGATCTAGTTAATTAAAAACAAGATCAGGTCCTTGAAAAACTTGATTGTACAGAAAAAATCAACATTGCTATGGGATTTGTGTTTCAAAACATATAAACCGGTGATTAATGTTATTACGCTTATGAAAATAAAACAATCTTCGATAAATCAATGAGGCTTTGTATTAAAGCTTCGTATTAAAGTTTGTACAAATGAGAGACAAAATACAAATTGACATCCAGTTGATCACTCATAAAACAATTGTTGCGGCTTTGCTAAAAAACGTACCCATGGTATGTCCCGATATAGTGATTCTCCAACCACTCCTGAGTGATAACCGTGTTTAGTGTTTGATTTCGGATCAAAGCACAAAACAACCGTGCATTGACAATTTGTATTTTTTACGAGCGTTTGTAGCTCACTCTCATGGAACAACTAGTCTTGAAACATGCACATCCAAAACCTGTAATGAGTTTCATGAAAAAATATTTGCGATCTGAAACAGTTTCGTGGCGTTTAGATTGATATGCCAACAGTTGAAAATTTACTAAAGAAAAACACTTATATCTACAATATCGACACTGAAGATGGAGATTTTGTGGTTGATCTTTCTCGGAGAAACATCGGTAAACACAGGAGTACAATAAAGCTTCTTCGATACAACAATCACATTACTTAGGTCAAAAAAATCGACAACTTTTTCAAATGCTTCTAATGCCCAAGTTGCGACACATTTTTCCACAAGGCAGACAATTTCAACAAGCAACTACTACCCCAAAAATGTTTATATTCAAAAAGAGACGTTATTTGAAAACTGGATGGCCTAAATATTGAGTAAACCAAAGAACAAACTTTATTCAAAAATGTCTCCATTTTCGACTTTGAATCAATTTGCATGCCATTTGAAGAACACCGACCGAAACAAACATTTGGCTTGTGAAGTATGAAACCATATCAGTGTCAGTCTCAGACATTTTGCTTGACAAACTTTTTCGTGTAAAAAAGATCCACAAGCCCTCATTATTGAAATGTTGGCAATATTGGCACTGTTGGCAGAAAAAAAAGAGTGAAAGGCACGGAAAAAGTGAAAGGCACGGATTGTGAGAAAAAAAACAGGAGAGCTGATGCAGCTTGACATCGCGAAAGTTGTGTGCGAGGAAATATTGTATGTCCAGAATGTAATTATTGCACTTACAACCAGCAAAAAATGAACTTCTGTACGAGCAAAAAGCACTAAAGTCAACCCAAAATCAATAAGTTGGGTATCGTATGAGATTTTACAAGCTAATATTTTTTTCTAAAACATTGCAAGAAAGAGCATGGGTTCAAAGAATGATCATTTTCTCGCTGAGTTGAATTAAATCTTGGAAAATGTGGAAAAAAGTGATCAGCTACTAGATGAGTCGAATACCTGTCAACACTTCTTGACAGATACCGAGACGGAAAAACGACGCTACAAGGTATTCAATTTTCAACTTTCCAAACAATTTTCTGATCTAGTTAATTAAAAACTAGATCATGTCTTTGAAAAACTTGAGTGTACAGGATAAATCAACATTGCTATGGGATTTGTGTTTCAAAACATATAAACCGCTGATTAATGTTAATATGCTTATGAAAATAAAACACTCTTTGATAAATCAATGAGGCTTTGTATTAAAGCTTCGTATTAAAGTTTGTACACATGAGAGACAAAATACAAATTAACATCCAGTTGATCACTCATAAAACAATTGTTGCGGCTTTGCTAAAAAACGTACCCATGGTATGTCCCGATATAGTGATTCTCCAACCACTCCTGAGAGATAACCATGTTTAGTGTTTGATTTGGGATCAAAGCACAAAACAACCTTGCATTGACAATTTGTGATTTTTTCGAGCGCTTGTAGCTCACTTGCATGGAACAACTAGTCTTGAAACATGCACATCCAAAATCTTTAATGAGTTTCATGAAAAAAATTTTGCGATCTGAAACAGTTTCGTGGCGTTTCGATTGATAATATGCCAACAGTTGAAAATTTACTAGAGAAAAACACTTATATCTACCACATTGACACTGAAGATGGAGATTTTGTGGTTGAGTTTTCTCGGAGAAGTATCGGTAAACACGAGAATACAAAAAAACTTCT